TTTTTTTTTTTTTAAATTTGCGGTTAACCAAAACCGAACCGCACCGAACGAAAATTTCGGTGCGGTTTCGGTTCGGTTTTTCTACATGTTTCGGTGCGGTTCGATTAGGGTAAATGAAAAAATTCGGTTTTCAGTTTTTTGCGGTTCGGTGCGGTTTTGCACCGAACCGCACCATGCTCACCCCTACCTACTTTTGTTCAGCAAAAATGGATTACTTCAGTTTTGGTCAACATTTACAAAAATTGGTACCAAACCTAGAATAAGATAGTACCGGCTTTTAGTAATTTAGTACCAGATACCGAGTCTATAGTGCCAACTCCGACGAACATAAAAAACACCGAATTTTGGTCTCAAATGATGTTTATATGACTCATTATCACTCTCACATTAGTTTCTATGAGATTTAAAATATATTTAATTATGTTTAATCGAAAATTGGTCACGAATTCAACACACTAATGAAAAACACTACTAACACACTTAATCTCATTAAAAGACACACATCATCTCATTGAATATTCATACATGAACTACTTCAAATTCTACCTATATATTTTAACTTCCACTATTTGTCAACCAAATCACGCGGGAACGATCCACGTGGCATGGTAGGCATGACGGATTAATGAAATCACTATTAGTAATTTACTACCAGTTTTGACAACAATAGTACCACTTCTTTCTCTTAGTAGTACCTGTTTTTATTAAATTGGTACCAACTTTTGATCAACTAAAATAGATTATTCAATTGTGGTCGACTTTAGAATAGTTGGTACCAGATCTAGAGTAAGATAGTACCAGCTTCATGGTGTATCAATACCAGATATTATCTTTTTAGTACCAACTCCGACGAACATAAAAGAACACCGGATTTCAGACTCAAGTGATGTTTATATGATCAATAATCACACTCTTATTAGTTTCTATGAGATTTATAACGTGATTAATAAAGTTTAATCCCAAATTGATCACGAACTCAATACATTAATGAGAAAATACTATTGATATACTTAATTTTTTTGAATGACACACTTCATCTCATAGAATCACCACACATGACTACTCCAAATTCTACCTATATGTTTTAACTTCCACTATTTTTATCCCAATCATGCGTGAACGATCCAGTGTCATGGTAGACATGAAGGATGAGAAAAATTACGATTCTTAAAATAGTACTTTTTTTAGCCAAAATAGTACCGCAATTTCTTCTACGTGGTTCATGTTTTTGATTGATTAGTACCTACTTTTGTGAACGAAAATGGATTATTTCAATTTTGGTCAACATTTACAAAAAGTAGTACCACGCATAGAGTAAGATAGTACCAGTTTTATATTGTTGTAGTACCTGATATTAGGTCTTTAGTACCACTTGTAATGAACACATAAATGTTGGGTTCGCCTGTACCGTACGGGCAATACGCAGCGGAATTTAAAATTTTTCAAAACAAGTATTTAACACTTAAATACTTAACCCGTATATACATATGGCGAATTAACAAATCGTCATCTTTAAAAACATGTAATAATACAAATTTTGATTTGTTACAAGTAATATTAGAAATTACAAGTAATATCAAATATTACCTTATAACTCTAACTCCTTCTTCTTGATGGTGGTTGAGGAAATTGGTTCCCGTAATAACGAACACTTCGGTTTGCTCGCTTTTAGGAATCCACTTGTCTTCCCTCTAAA